GGAGTTGCCGAGTCAGAGCATTTCCTTTACCTGAGTTCTGTCTTGTGGTTTTAAAAGTAGTAGTGTTCAGTGAAGCTGCTAATAGCATAATTTCTGGGAAAACAAGGGAAATACAGTTTCTGTTTGGAAGGTCTCCGGTGTATGAACTGGAAGCTCTGCATGCAGAGGTACTCTCTGCCTGGACAAGAAGATGGAGGAGGGTGTTCCTGATGAAACTCACATTCATGCTACCTGTGCCTGGCTGGCCTGATGAGGCTCCAGGGGAGAGGGCTCTGTTACTCACCAGATGCACATAAACCATCTTCTTGGTGAGGCGACATGAAGAAGCTACAGAAGTTTAAAAAATCTAAGGGCTCTGTGGTGGCACCACAAGATACAGTTTCGTCATGCACTTCATAAATGGCCTACAGTTATGACACATTGGCAAGGCAAAGCCAGGTGCTTGTCAGGAAGATCATTTCCCTTAGGTCTGGTCATTGTATCCTTTATCTACAGTGGAGTACAGGCACAAGTTGGAACACTCTTACCTTTAAACTTTATAAGCCTTGTTGCTTCAAAGTCAGCTGTAGCCCCATGACTCTGAAAAATGAACTGGAAGGACCTACTGGGGGTGACCTATGTGACCCAGCTAGCCAAATCTCTTCTTTCCAAATCTAGATGTTGTTTAGATCCTCTCCAGTCTTGAAAGCACAGCTCAACACTTTATCACTCAAAAAAGAAGAGGGTGAGAGTGATGCTAAAGACAAGGGGCTTCTAGCTGCCCAGAAGCCAGCCTCCTCTAGCAGACTGGAAGGAGGAGAGCAAGAGGACAGGGAGATCTCAGCTCCTAATTACAATCCTTTTGCTGTTGCATCCCATTGTCCTACTTTCTAGGCCCTTTGTATTCTGTTCTGCCCAGTAAAAAGTTGCCTTCCCTTCGTGTATGTGCCTAGGGCGGACTAAGGCACCACAGGCTGGGAAAGATCCACATGGGTGTTATTTTACCCGTAGTAAGGTAAACTGGTAACTGTGACGCCTCACAGAACAGGCAGAAATCGGTTTAGTGTCACTGTCTGGAGGCCACCCCTGGGCTTGCTAAATTGGCAATCCACCTCTCTGGTGCTGAATATTCATGGTGGCTGGTGGATATCAGCCCTCGTGTGCAGCACAGCCAGTCTCCCTCTTTGCTCAGCTGCACTCGCCTTGTGTGGGGATCTGAAGGCTGCATGGTGGGAGGTGCTGCCAGGAGCCTTTCCTTTTCCAGCCACCTTATTTGTGCTGCACCGTTCAGGCACGAGGAGTGTGCTGGGGTGTTATCTTTTCTCATCCAAAATCTGCTTGTCTAAAATCATAGCAATGGAAGTGATAGAAAAATCAATTCTGAGAGTTTGCGTCACATAAATCGGGTTTTAAGTATATCAAGCAAAACAGTTTGTGAACTAAAGTGATAAAGTCTTAAATGTGTCTAGTAAGTTACATGTCTTTGTTATTTGTTATATATTATTTATCATGTAGGAAGTACTTACAGATGCTCATAGATAACTGAGTGCTTTTGGAAGAATAACTTGTCAAAGTGAATTGGGGGAGGAGATCTAAAAAAGTTGATAGTCATATAAAGAAAACTTCAGGGTTTTTTTTTAAGAAATGAATGACCCAAGTTAAATACCTTCACCCAGTTAAAATTGGATTACCATCCTGACAACTTGAGAAGATGTTTTCCTACACTAAATTCTCACTCCTGTAACTAGCTGAGCATGTGTAACTTCACAGGCTGAGGCAGGTTTATTTGGATGTGTAAACTTGCAGTCAGACTTGTAGATCACTAGGCTTGCAGCCCGAACTCCCTTGGTATTTTAATAGCCAAGACAGAAGTACCCCTCTTCTAACAGCTTAACAGACCAAGTTTGGCTGACATCATCACCTTGCTTTGATAATACTGGCTTTCACAGAATCACAGAATCACAGAATGTTAGGGTTTTCCTCATCAGAATTACTATCTGACACAACCAAAATGTATAGTTGTAATGAAGTTAAAGCAGTTTGAGTAAATTAATTAGGTGTGAGTAGCACTCACCTTCCCTTGTGAAGGGATCAAAGGCGAACACTTAATAGCATTTATTTTCTTGTTCTGCTCTGACCCAAACATTAATGTAAGTTGTTATATTAAGTCATTGTGCTTTGGTGAACATTTCTGCCCTGCATAGACATCATGACTACTGGGACTCAACATGTGTTACATTGTAGTAACTGGAAGTGGACAGAAGAATGGCAAGAGAGCCAAACGAGTGAGGAACACTCATAGAGCTCTAAACCTCTGCCTTTCTTCTATGCAGTATCTCCTCATTTCATCCACCCCTTCTCTAGTATTTACAGAAAACACTTGCGCAGAGAAACTGAAAAGTAGATTCCAGAGACAGACCCAGGCCTCCAGCGCTTGCGGGTGTCAGTGTGGCTGAAGGAACTTGAGTGGCAAATGACTGGAAGGGGAGCAGTAATTCAGACAAGAATTTGAATCAGAATTTGTGGACGTTTTTGTTTTTATTTGTGGTCTTTTGCTGTATTACTATCATGGTTTGGTATTAGGACCTTCACAGTAAGAACTAGGGGAGGAACAGAAGTCAAATTTTCATTGACTTCATTATTGCCAAGGTTTCCCTCTGCATCCCTGAGGAATTTACATTAGAGAAGTTTATTCTACTAAGAGTCTGTCAGCAGGACTGGCCCCTCACTGAAAGCATGATGCAGTGCGTGAGATTAGGTAAGGTAAAATAAGACAAAATCCTAAATAATCAAATTGTGTGTGGGCACTGCGTGCTTGCACCTCTGTGGTGAAGGTATTCGCATCAGTCACTAGTTGTTCTGTGACCGGAGCCATTAAATAGGGCGCAGGCCTCGCAACGCTGTCAGCTCATGGCAGCGCAGATCGTGCGCCCCTTTGTGCGGAGGTGCTTCAAGGCTGAGATGCCAAGTTGTTTTAGTAGGCTGGATTTTGGGTTTATTTGTCTGTGGCCATGCTGCGGAGGAAAGGAAATTAAATGATCTCAGCATCATATATTTATTTTATTTTTTTTTTTTTAGAGTGACATATTGTCTTCTTCAGCCACTTAATACAATGTAATGCTGTTTAGGACTTTAAAAGACAAGGAGACATGAGGCTTTATTAAATTCGCTAAGTCCTTTGCCTAGGATATTATTCTGCTTTAATAATTTTACTGCTTGAAATAAGTAAGACTCATTTCATGGTTTTAGTCTAGAGTTTGATAAATGTTAGTGCCCTACACATCACAAGAAATAAAATCTTTTAGGACACAAGCGATAGTAATAGGGAAGCTGCTTTACAGCTGGTTTTGCATGTATCCATGATAGAGAGATCTCAGGACTGTCCATGAAGTTACTGTACAGCAGCTTGTACCAGAGTGTGGCTGTGACCAAACCTGCACTACAGGTACATGTTTTTCCCCAGACTGTTGGATGTAGAGACAAGGCCATGTACAAAATGGCTGAAGAACTCAATGGCTCCAGTGAGATACAGAGGAGATGTTTAGATCCAGTATTGCAAATTCCCGTTGGTGCGATTAACCTTGAGCTTGCAGCAGTGTATGTGGAGCTTTCACAGCGTGGTTTACGCCGGGCGTATACATAAGCTCTTTCCCCAGCTGGGCTTGCTGGTTTCTGTAATAGATCTTCGTCCTGGTCTCCAGTTAGATCGCTGTCGGGGTGTAAGGAGAGGACAGTTTGACTGTATTCCAGTCCCATGTGCCACACAGCCTCATGAGCACCTATAATCTGCCAAGTGGACACAGTCAGCCAGCCATCTGCATGGCATTTTTGGTGGTGTTTTAAAAGAAGTCAGTCAGTACAGATTGAGTACCACAAACTGGATTAGCTCAGGTTGTACTCAGTCTGAAGGCATCCACCTGCTGAGGTGGACTGCAGTTTGTTTCCAAACATTTTCCCTGTAGTTTCCAAAGAGTGGCTTTCTTCAGTACGAAGCACTGCACAGTATCTTGAAACAGTGTTTTTTTCATTTTATATTCAGGACATGATCACAGGGCTTCAAGAGGGCAGTAAAAATGCGCATGGTTCACCTAGATGCTTGTTGCTGTTTTCTGGAATTTGAGTTAATGAAAACAGAGTTTGAAAAAACTACTTGCCTTGTTTTTTTTAATGTCTCGATCCCAGCTTGCATCATCTTCCAGAAATTGCAGTGTTGTATCCATCTGGAAATGACTGCAGTATTATTTTGCCATAACACTAAAGCATTTTGCCTGGAAGTTTAGCTATTTAGAGCACACATCCCTCTTGAAGCCTCATGTTCAAGGGCTCTTCATGAGCAATATCAATGGTATTAAACATAAATGGATCTCGTGGGATGATATAAAAAATCAGGCCAGTAACGAATGCAGTATCCAGTCGGGATAACACTTCCATTCTAAGGCATTTCTTGTAATTGTGAATTCCTTAACATGGAGGAGGGTAACGAAAATAACACAATATACTTATTCTACTATCAAGAGCTTTAATGAACTTCAGGAGAACCATTTGGGTGCAGTGCTGCCAAAGCCCCATGACCTTGGGCACACCGAGGCGGGTCCTGCAAGCGATGGCAGCCGGGCAGAGGCTGGCGGCTTCCAGGGGTCATGGGGGTGAAGGTGCACAGGCCTGGGCGCACTTGCAGGGATCAAGACCTCGCCTTAGTTTGGATAGTCTGCAACCTTTTAACTGAGGGGTTGATTTTGCAACAACACTCTAGCAAGAAACTTTTCCTTAAAATCAAGCAGATAAAGGCTTTTTTTCTTTGCTGCTGCCTGCAAAGGCTGGTCCTGGACAGGGAGCCGTGGGATTTGTTCTGGGAGCTCGGCAGCGCCTCACAGCCCAGCCCAGCCCAGGCAGCCCGGGGCAGGCTGGCGAGGCCGCGCCTCGCTCCCTCACCGCGCGCGGCAGGAGCTCCCCTCCAGGAGCCGCCTCCAGCCGGGGCCAGAGAGACGCGCGGTCCCTAATCCCTGTGGGTTTCTCCCCAGCTGGCTGTGCCGCACAACGACGAGTGGACGCGCTTCGCACGGACGCTGGTGGAGATCCGCGCCAACCGGGCGGACAGCGAGGAGGAAGGGGCGGTGGAGCTGTCGGCCTAGGGAGGAGGAGGAGGAAGAGGAGGAGGAAGAGGAGGAGGAGGAGCCGCGCCTGCCCTCGCCGGCGCAGCCGCCTCCCCGCGAGCGGAGTCGGTCTCGCAGAGGCTTTTGATGCCAATGTATGTGCAGCACTGCTCAGAGCATTCCGCATCCATCATACCGCTTCATGCAAGGCTGAAAATATCCAGAGCGTTTTCATTCTTTATATTTCTGTCTGAAAAGTAAGAAAGAAAAGACAAATCAACCCTTTATGGGTTTAGTTGTTGCCTTTTAACTACTTAGTAGCTGTATTTAATGGCTAGGAACCCTTGGTTAAACTTGTGCTCACGTGGCCCTTCTGGCACGGTCCTATTAAATCCATATGAAGCCAGATATGATTATGTGCAGATGTGGCGTGCTTCACTGTATGGGACTGGGCCAAAGACTTTAGATGTGGTGTTTCACATGGTGACTTACATTATGAATGGATGTACTATACGAAAGTTGCTGCTCCTTATTTATTGCGGTGTACTGCATGGAACATATTTATTTGAAAGCATTAAAATAAACTATCCTAAAGCATGTGCATAATGAGAGAACTGCATTGTCCGTGTGCTGCTGTAGAGGTTACATTAAAGGCCACATAACAATCACAGGACATCATCAGTTGTGCTTAAGAAGCAAGATCTATAAAGGTTGGCTTGAGTGGGTGGAATGAGTTTCTTTTCCTTTTTTTTTTTTTTTTTTCCCAAGATGCCTATTATTTCTAGGCACTTTAACTATATTTCAGATACAGCTGGTCACTGATACTTATCATGCAAGTTAACACTAACACTCTGACAAAGGGTTGTGGTTTCCGAGTACGACACTAGTATTGCCAATAAATTGTATTGAGCCCGTGCTGTTGCAGCGTGGTTAATCCTCCAGTGTGTTCTTTACTCGTCACTGGTGAGGCACTGGGAAAACGTGACTGCCCTGACTCGCGGAATGCAGAATGCAAATAGATACCTTCTGCTTCAGGCACTGGCCAGGGATGGCCTTGTGTGCAGCAGGTCCTGCTACACACTTCACGTGAGCTGACACTGATCCATGCCAGCTTCTAGGCTTCATTTATTGTTATTTTTTTTCTTCCATCCCTAGCTGCAACAAGTTCTTGTGGACTGCTTGCCCAATATAGAAAGATACTATCATTAACAGGCAGACTAGCAGCCAAACTCCTCCCTCTACTCTTACATCATACACAAATGATCCAAGGTGCTGAACCACTGGAGGGTGGCATAAGGAATAAGCACTCACTCACTGCATAGGATGCAAAGACTGGCCAAGGGTCCAAGCCACGGGAGATGGAATTAACCAGGCCATGAGTCCAATTATGTAGCTGGGACTCATCTTTCTCCCTGCCATCCTGGGAACTCCACTTGCTATACACAGTCAGGGGCCTTTCTGACAACCAGAATTCTCACACAGGACATGCACTGTGTACACAAACCCCCCAACTCCAGTGCAAGCAGAGTCAGCGCTTACGGAGGTGGCTTCTTGCCCACCTCCAAGTTAATGTGGAAGGCAGGGGCACCTGGTGGTGATCTCCTCATCAGTTCCCACCCAAGGCTGGCCAGACCCTGGGTGAAAAGCAATCTGGAGGGTTTTTGCCTGGCTGTGGACATCATCTGTATGCCGACCCTCATTGAGGGCTGGGGCTTTAACCCCAACACTTCACTTATGGAAGGGAATAGGGTGCAGACTGATCTCGTTCAGTGCAGTGGCGTTCTCAGCGGTGACTGCAGAGCTCGGTGGTGAGGCGGCTACTTACGGGCACGTCGCGCTCTGCCAAGCCAGAGCGCAGCTCCAACAGCCGGGGTTAGCCATGCCGCGCACTCACTTGGGCAGGCAGGTCTTGCAGGCATTGCAACACGAAGCACTGCAGCTCAGACAGCAAAAAAGATTCTGTATGGAAGTTTGCTGAGAGACATGGCTCGTCTTCGGGCAGTCATGTTGAGGAATAGTTCATACAACACTCTTCAGAGCTATGGTCAAACCCAGAACCACTGGGAAGTCTCTGCACTGCTAAAAGCCAGAGTATGCTGGGAAGATGAGTCTTTTGGGGAAGCTGCATTTTAGAAATAACTCCCAGCGAGAGGACATGGTGTAGTTTCTTGATGGTTGGACCTGAAGCTATGTCCCCGTGCCTGCGGACACAGGACCTTAAGCTATCTGGCGGTGCCCATGGAAGTAACCTTGCCATTGGGCTGTGGTTAGCGGGGCCTTCCCTGGGACAGACTAGTTCACACAGCGGAGATAGAGCTGCCACTGCTCTGGTGGCTGAAACAGGAGCCACGTGTTAGAGAGCCTTGTGTTCCTGCTGCTCCCCTCTGGGAGCTGTCCTGAAAAACCAGTGCAGCACTTGCAGCACTTCTGTAGCTTCAAGGTGAATGCTAATAAGCAACCAGGTGAGATACCTGTAAGGGAGCAGTTTAGGCATCGTCTCTAGGTGTTTCCCTTCCCCTCCATTTCTCCCTGTTTTCCTTTCAAGAAGCAGATGTGTTGTCTATAACACCACGAAAGGGCCATTACACACAGCCAAAGCAGATGGAAGAGCACCCAAGAACAAGAGGCATTTACTTGCCTTCTGCTGGTCGTGACTGCCATGTGCTAGAGTTTCTGAACAGCCCTTTTTGCTGCCCTTACAGGAATCTCCAATAATTTTTTGATTGATTTTTTCCTGCTGCTAAACAAATAGCTCCACTTTTACTGGCTTTCCAAAAAAGCTCATATGACAAGATGTGACTTGGACTCTTCCAGGTAGGGAAATAAATACAAGAGTATGAAGAGAACTCATCTTCTGCAGGCTCTTTCGTCTACCAACAGCCTGAGAAGAGAAGGCAGAGCATGAAGAGCACACTCCATGCTTTAGCACTGCTGGGATGCTGCCATGCCTGCTTCAGCCAGGGAATGAGTTAGAAAACAGCCTGGCTGTATTGTGGGACCCTTACAAATGAGCTTTCTGTGAAGGACAAAAGGTGTGCACTCAGCCTGAGCTGGAGAGCACATCATCACCAGAAAGGCAAGAAAGGGTAAACACAAGCAGGGAAGAAGCAGGCAAGCGGCACACAAGGATGAACAATGTGGGCCAAGAAGGGAAAGGCTGACTTGAGATTTAGGATGGAGGAGAGGACTGTGAGGTGGACGTGGAAGAGACAACTGCCCTGTGCTTGATGAAGGGGAGACCAGAGCCTCCCTTGACTTCATTGCAAAGGCTCAAAGCCACATCAACACAAGTGAGAGGCAGAGAAATGCCATGGCCAGGGACTCAGGATTTGTTCTGAAATGAGCTGGGAAAGGGCACAGGGAGCCATGGCAGGCAGCACTAGGGGTGGGAGCTGAAGGTGTTAGCTAAAGGAGGAACCAGGGTTACTTCACCTTCGTGACATGTACTCTGTTCGAGACCCACGCCATTGTAACAGAGGAAGATAATGGCCAGGGCACATCAAAAGACCATGTGGACAGCACTGGCCAACCTGGAATTTGACCAAGTCACACAAAACCAGCGTGGGCCTGGAGTGCCAGGCCCATCATGTAAATAACAGGACTCGGGCCAGGTGGATGTTTGGATGGTGGAGGCGCTACAGCCTGCCTCCCGGGTCTCAGAGCAGCACAGACATCTCCAGGGAAGGGCAGTCAGAGCAAAGGGTTGCTGCTTGGGTATGGGGCTCACCAGTTGCCTCTAGCTTTTTACTTCAGAAAGAGAAGGGGTGTGGGACAAATGCTGCTGGGTCACAGTGATTCAGGAGCTGCAGCATATTCCACGGGGTACTCAGCACATGCTCTGCAGTCAGTCTTCCAGGACAAAAGGTACTTCTTCCTGGCTCTCAGAACCAACACCCTGAGCATTTGCTACTTCTGAAAACAAGAGCTCCTACCACATCCTGAAACATCATGAGCTCTTACTGCAAATGACACCCTGAATCTCTAGTGCTATGGAAACCAAGGGAATAGGTTCTTTCACATGACATAAAGTAAAAGCTCTCAAGAGTTTTAGCAACTTTAGATACAAAGCAAACACAGCAGAAGACTGGAAATGCCTCACAGAGCAAGACAGCATCACATGTAGAATGGGACAGTGCTTGCTGAGCAATGGCAGGTAAAGGACACTGCTATCACCAGGGCAGCACCAGTTCTAAGGAGGGACTCGGTGCCTAATGGTGCTACAGGAGCAGCAGCCTGTCCTCAGGAAGTTTACAGGGCTGCGTCTCCTTCAAAGGCATACGCAGAGCTTACTACTTGTGCAGCAGCAGCACCATGTCCGGTACACGCCCAGGGCGCGCGCGAGCAGGGGGGGAGCGTGCGCAGCCCTCGCCAGTGTGACTGCAGCAGCTGGAATGCACCCTGCAGGTGAGGGAACTGCGCCCCGCTGCCAACAGCGGGCCGAGGAGCATGTATGATGGCGAACACACCTTTTAAATGCTATCTCTATCTGAAGGGCAACAGACACCCCAATGACATGCTCGTGTACAGCGCAGGGACAGGCTGCCTGCGCTCACAGCCTGAGCTCTCCGCTGCCCACCACACAGATAGCAGAGCCACCGTACGACATGTGGCCTTGAGGAAAGCACTTCATCTTGGGCTGCTCCGGGGTTATTTGCTGTGTTCGAAGCTCTCCGGAGACTTAAAATACAAACAACTGGAGATTTCTACATTCTCAGCCGTTAAATAGCATACAAATTATCACTGTCTCTGGAAATCGTCTTCTAGCTGATGCAAAAATGGCAAATATTTCAGCAAAAACAGGGTCTGAATTTCACTGTGGTGTTTCAACAGCAAGGCTGGAGGATTCCTATTCATCCCTCTGCTGAGAGCGTGCTGGAGAGCCAAGGATCTCGGCAGCAAGCCGTGTGCTCTGTGTGTACATGGTGGAGTATGGGGCAGGAACATTCCCGAGCAGGCCGTCCCCTAAGGAGGACGCACAGCAGTTTGTCAGGTTTTGTATTTTTAGCAGGTTTAGAAAAACCTGCCCAAGTTATTTTTGAAGCCTGTGGCATGTTTCTTCATGAAAGTGTCCCTGCAAGCTGTCAATATTAAGTCATCTTAAACCCAACCCATTCCCCAGGGTCCAGGCAGAAAAGCAACCCTCAGCTTCTGCTGGACTGAGCAACACAAATACTGGGTAACTGCTTGTGGGACACTCCCACCTCACTCTCCTGCTGGTGGGTAGCTTCACCAATATTTGGTCATTTCTTTTTTCTGGAAGTGCTGTCACAGGGAGTCAGCTGGACTGCAGGAAGCAAGCAAGGTTACAGTTTATCCTGTTCCTCCCACACTTCACGTAACTCACCCAGAAACCCAAAGAGGACAAACATCTAAACACTGTCCTTGTGGCCTTTTGGTTGTTTATAAAGCAACCCGATAGTTTCTTGGCCTGTAACCTTTTCATCCTTCTGTCTCTGGAGAAGGCTGACTGTGGGTTCCATCTTCCCCAAGATCTCCAGGCAGAGCATAGAGGTGCTTTGAAATGTTCTTAACTGGACTGTGTACTAACAAAGCAGTCACTGGTTCTTCAACCCTTCTGTCCCTGCCTCCATCCTCTACTGGCCCTGAGAAGAAGGGCAGAAGGACTCAACAATCCCAGGCAAAAGTAAGGGATGAAGTGTACAACCAGCTCCTAAAGGGCCTAAAACCTAAAGCATCAAGCACAGGCAGCTCCTAGTGAGAAAGTTTAACTTTTATGACAAGCCTTAACCAAAAATCCTGACAGTTCATTTTGGACTAATACAAGGGGCTGACACTCTCCCCCCGCCTGGAAGGAAGGTGCTGTCACGTGGGGAGAGTGGGACAGAGGGGGCTGAGAGGCGGCAGCCACGTCCGTCAGAGCCCAGCGCAGTCCCCGCACGCTCGTTCAGCCAGACTCCCAGATGCAGCTGCAGGCAGATGTCATCTCCTCCCCTTGTGTTCACATGCTGCAGCTGCCGTTCCTGCCACAGCTCCATTTCATTGGTAACCCCAAAGTGCAAATTAGTCCAAGAGAACAATTCTCACGATGACCCAAACACAAATACAATAACAGAGTGGTTTCCATTTCGGTACTTGCACAGGTCATAGTACAACAATGTGATGTTGCATACCTAAGTTGTTCTTCTGCAAAGATGTTCCACCTGTGCAATCCCTTGGTTAACATCAGTCAATGCTGAAGGCACCCACCCCTTACCCCAACAAAGATGAGCAAGGCCAAGTTCTTCCTGGTCTTACCAGGTATCACAGAAGACCCCTGACAGTACCTTCAACTGACTAGGTAGTTGGGGCTCTACGTAACACATTAACCTCCCCCCAAAAGTAAAGGTCAAAATACCAGCACTTAACTCTAGTCCTGGTTTTTGACTGAGGAAAAATTTCTTTTTGGTCAGAGACATCGACACTTTCTCTTCTACGCAGGGGAATTCAGGTAACTTTATTCTCAAGCTGCAGGTGTTTTTATAGCCTACATATCCAAATATTAACTTGATCTTGAACCTAACTTTATAACTTTAGTCAAGCAAGACATTTCATGTACTACACTGCTTCTGTAATAGAATACCATGTGTGCATCTGTTTGAAAGGTTTATTTCTATCTTCATAAATACATCATTTTCTAAACACTGTGCAAGGCACCAAAAAATTAAGTAAAATCTTTCTTTTAGAGTATTTTAATCTCTTTTGACTCAATGAAGTAAATAAGAATCTGAAACCACCTATTTGCAAATTACAAGCCAGCAGTTAAGGCAGGTACCATTGATACAGTGCATAATTTTCTATTGCAGTTATTTAAACAAGCAGCGTTTTACTATAGAAGTGCATGTACAAACTGAATTCCAAACACCAGCAACTCAAGATAGGCACCTAGTTATGAAATTTCCTTGTATGTGTAGTAGAATGCCAAAAGTTCTGCCATAAAGTGCAAAGACTATGGACAATAACACTTTCTTTTGAGCATTTTGATACCAGTAACATAATGCAACAGCTGAACACCTAGAAATGTGGTTTCCATTACAAAAACATGTTCCACATAAAAGCTTCACGATACAACCCAGGAAGAGACCTTGTGCGTGTCGCTGTTCCAGCAGGTGAAGCTGCACTGGCACGCATAGGTACCGGGTGTGCCTGTGGTGGCCTCCGCAGGCACACACCAAGTGTAGACCCCGTTTACACGTACAGCCAAAGCCCCTCTGCTCCCAGCACCGCCGCACCTGCCCAGCTCTTCCCTCCGAGTGGCTGCGGGCCACACCCGCCCAGGTGACCCCCAGCCCGGCGCCACCTGCGAGACCAGCTGCTTCACAGCTCTCACCCAGCCCTCCCCAGTCAATGGAACCTAAAATTAGTGTCTTCCCAACACAGGCACATGTCAGATGTGGACAAATACATTCATGGTCCCAAACTTAAAACAACTGGTAAGAATTTCACAGTGATCTGGTTAAGGAAGCACAAAGACAAATGATTACATTTAAAACGAAAATTGCCTTAAAACTCAAATGAAGCTAAACTGTTGCATGACGAGAAGCTAAAGGAAGAAAGTATTAACCAATTAGAAAAGTGGCTCTGTCCCAACTAATAACAAAAAACCTACAGCAATAAACTTAGGGTCCTACTGCTGCAGCAGCCTTTGAGGTAGGTGGCGATGGCTTAAACCGAGGTAGGTAAAGTCCAAACTTGTTTTCAATCCCTGCAAAAGTGGCAACTGCCAATTTATAACCACCAACATGGTCAGGGTTAGGAGCAGGGAGAGTGATCCTAGATTTGGGAACTGGCTCTGATCCAGCTGGTTTCCTGCAAAATAACAAAAATAATAAATTAATTTCCAGAGAGTAAAACCAGTATTCAAATGAGACAGGTATCTGAGTGTACCTCCCCTTAGGTAACTAAATTAAATGCTACAAAGTAATGAGAAATACACTGGTTTAAAACTTTCCAGAGCAGTAAGGAGCCTTCATATTGATCAAGTGTGGTCAAATTCAGATAAAATTAACCAAAGCTGCAGCATGGGGAAGCAGGGGTCTGTAAGTCTCTGCCACAGTGCACAACCAATTCAGAAATCTAACAAGAGTTTTAAGTGGTTTCTGTGGTGGCTTTCAAACTACTCTCCCCAAAGCTTTGTACTGCTTTGCAGCTGCTCCTGGGATCACGTTAAACGGCAATATGCACATCCACCTCTAACGTCATCAAAGACAGGAGGCAGGGCTGACGCTCCAACAAATGGGTTTTGGACTTGGTGACACCTATAGACATTTTTGGGTGTCAGACGCCCTGCACAGCTTCTCCACCAAACTAATGAGGACTAATGCAGAGCACATCATGACTTGGTAGGCACATTTCCCCTACAGCTCAATTGCCAGCCCATTGTTTTGTCACCCACTGTCTCTGTTCACACTAACACAAGTCCCCAGCTTGGAACGGTGATATAAATCGTGGTCATATCTTGCTCGGAAAACAGGTACTGGATTATCAGCCTAACCTCCACCAGTGTCGTGTGGCTTAAATAATATTCACAAAGCCTTCACAACATGTCCTCTGTAACAGCAAGACCCTGACTGACATGTCAATGAGCACCCACACAGAACCAAGTGCAGCTTCAGGGTCCTGGGCAAACATCACATACTTACACTCCTCCGAAGTCCACATAAAACCATCTCTGCAGTAGCTCGTATGTCACCAGAGTTACACCAAACTGAGGAGAAGATCGAAATACACGAGCTTGAAAGAAAAGGAAAGAGTTTCTAAGTGACGAAAAACACAATCAGAAATTGCTAAGCAATCAAAACTCTCCTACACACCTCCTGCTCCCTTCCACAGAGCCTTCGGACCTTCCTCTCGAAGGATTTTCACAAAACAGTCTACAACACCGCTGTAGGTGGTCTGTCCTGCCCGGGCTGCCACCTGTAGTCTTGTTTTGATGACATCTGCAGGCGTCACCAGAGAGGCTGCAGGCATACCTACACAAGACAAAAACCATCAGGAGGGTGCCCCTGCCTTGTCTACCTGCGCTACGTACCTTGTTTACCCAGGGGCGACTGTGCCTTTCGCCCTTGCATCAGGAGAATCCAGCCACATTTGCTTTCGGCAGAAGCCAAGAAGAACAAGCAATAAGAAGCCACTGCTGTGGACGTGGCTTCACTCAGAGAGAGCCTCTCCTAGAGGACCAACCGTATCACATGCTTAACGGGCTGGATTTTTCAACGCTCAGCAGAAACTTGCGTTGTTAATAAGCACAACGTTTTTGGAGGTGAGGTTGAACCTGCTCTCTCCTTTTCACGCCTGGCCGTGGTCCCTGGCGTTCTGGCTGCACCAGCCTGTACACACACAGCCCCACACCTCCTCACGCAGCGAAGTCACCGGGAACCAGTTAATGCCATGCATGCTCTGCCAGCCATGAGAGCTGAGCTCTGAAAAAAAGGGTCATGCTTCTCATTAGCAATGGCAGATGGCTCAGCTGCAAAGCCACAGCTGACATCCTCAGCAGAGCACTTGAAGGAAGATATAAATTTACCCTGGCACATGATCAACTGAAAGCAAAAAATACCAAATTACCAATGGATGGTATTTCTAAAATCATTCCTATCCAAACTGGGGCTGCCCATGTTTAGAATTGGGGGAAAAAAATAAAAAAGCCAGAAAAAAAAGCACCGAGACTGTACCCATAAGACACTGTCTCTTATGGTTTTATTACTTTTCCATTCTGTATTTGTTCCAAACCAACTTGGTCAGATGTAGATGCATAAATCTCCTTTGCTTCTTTTTTTTTTTTTTGGGCTTAATAATTGCTAACAACTTTTGTCCAAACCATCATGGTCTGTCTTCAAGCACCAGAGCACCCTTCCTGCGGACTACTGCTCTGAGAGATATATGTATGTGTATCACCAAAATAAGGACTCCTCCTCCTCTCACCGACTCCCCACAATAATGCACAAGCTGAACTTGCACAGTGGTCAGTCTGGCAGGCAAGTGCTAAAAGCCAGTAAAGGTTTCTGAACTCCACAAATGTTGAAATTCCTCTTTGCTTAGCCTTACCCACACCAGGATATTGGTTGAGTTTTCAGTTTAAAGCTGGACTTTTGTCCTTTAAAAGCCAACCAGTGCTTTCAAGGAAAACCAAAGGACATACTTAGAAACAGTTCAGCTTACTACACGTTGACTTCCACCTCCTTATTCCTCATTCCTTATTACTGAGGATATTTTGCAGTTAAAGATGTTTTTAATCCTGTTTTTAGGAGCTATGTGTACAGGACAAAAGACTTTACAGACAAATAAAAATTTACAGGTTGCTGCCGTGAGAAGCTTACAATCGAACTGAGACAAATGGCCCAGCAGGAGCTGAAAATAAAAAACAGGAGTGAGAGGAGGAGAAGGAAGTTCACGGAGGCAATAGGCAGATGGAGCAAATTAAGGAGAGATCCTGTAGCTGATATTAGAATCATCTCAGAAAATGCTTTGGCACAACAGGTTGAGACATCTGGTGAACAGTGAAAGGCAGCAGTTGATCAAACTGCGTGCCGTGCGGGCTGCACGTGTCCCTGACGAGGGGGACAGGGAAGGGGATACCCACAGCCCCAGCAAATGCCCACTGCCCCAGCGCCATGGGCTGTGGGAAGGTGGGGTCCCCACCCAGATCCCCCGTGTGTCTGAAGTCTGCTGACCGGGCGAGATCCCTGGCCAGAGCAGAGACATCAGCCCAGAGGCTGAGCCAGTGTTTCAGAGGTGATGGAGCTTTTGTTTTACCCTTGACTTCCTTGTGGTAAAGCAGCAGACACATACATCCCCACCATGCTTTACTTGTACCCTGTAAAGGAAATTCCTTGGTTGTGTAAATAGTATGATGAGTGTTTTATCTTTAACACCGTAATTTGCTCATGAGAGTTAACCTGGGATGGGATTCACAGGAAGCACTGGATAAAATTCACATTATAGCTAGTTTGGTAAGCCACATCAGGAACAATAAAGACTGCTTCTGTGCCTGAACTTCAAAGGGACGGTTATCTCAGTCTGCAATCACCTGACAATGGCTAGAAAGAGAAAAATAGGAAAATCTAAGAAATTACTTGGCTTAAAAATGCCAGCTTATGTTTCATGTCTGTAAATATGATCTAAAGTTCAAAAATTGTTTTGTTCCATTAAAATGGGTGAGAAATAAGCTGGCTGTAAGCTCCTGTTGGGGGGCTTGGAGGCTGGCTCTGGTTTGGGGTGGGGGAGGGGAGAGGACAAGGAGTTTTTAAGCACCAGTCATTTGAACAGAGCTGGTTTTCCCAGTGCCAGGTAGATTCTTCTGGACTAGGAGCTACTGAGGACAGAGCAAACCCAACAAGACACACTGACCAATGAGCACTATACCAGGTGCTGGCTTTATCCTGAGCCCAAATATTGTCCATAAAAGATCCCTGACTCTTCAAGAGACACAGCCCCATGTATAATCCTGACCAGGAACAGCTTCCCCAGGGAGAAGAAAGCTTAAAATCAAAGGAGAAAACATAGCTAAAACACCAACCATCCACCTATATTTGACTCGTGCCACTCTTATCTTTTTTACTCACCCGGAGGTCACAGCAGCCTGTCAGGGGCCACACTGGAGAAAGAACTTGTTTGCAGCTCAGAAAGTCCAAGCAGCCCTCAATGAACATGACAAAAATACCTGCTAGTGTGAGCCCTCCTGCTTGCTACACACTCCCTCAATGGTCTTGCTGCTCAAATTTTCAAGCCTATTTGTTTCCTGAAGGGAAACCCCTGGATGAAGCAGGAGAAGGACTCTGAAGCTGCTCTCTCCACGGGGCAGCTACCAAACGGTGGTCCTCTTTGGGTGCAGAAGTTGGGTGCTATGCTGGGGACCAGCTAGGCAACAGACACAAAGGTAAACTGAAGCTACCACAAGAGTACCTCTATCTTCTCCCTCAGGCTCTTGCACACTAAAGTTAAATGCGTGAGCCAAGCACGATTTAGCTCTCCCAGCCACTGTATCAGACTAAAACAAGTGCTCCACATCACACTCAGCATCTCTGCATCTGGATACACTAGGAATCAGCAACCTATGGCACAACAGAAAAGTTTCAAAGCTCTTCTGTTTTGTTCATTATGAAAAAAAAATGAAGGTAGTATCCTCACAAAGCCAAGTACTGCATGGGATACTGCATGGGATACAGTTGCCAGCAACGGTCATCATTTTGTCACAGGGTATGTTACTGTGTGTAGAGAACTGTAGCGCCAGCATAGCTTTTGGATTTCATATATCAAAATCATAAAGAATTTCACAAATGTCATGACTTAATTCATAAACTCTTTCAATGAAGCTTTACCGATCAGCCAGCCACAAACAGAATCAGCATAGTAACTTCACAAAGAAAGATAACATCTGACAACAAAACATCAGCACTTAAATCTTTCCCTTTCGACACTCTGATTATGCCAGGAACTTACAATATCTTTATTTTTAACATCAACTCACTCTACAGCATGGTAGCTTTCAGCTATTTGCACACAAGGCTGCAAAATGCATATAGTTCTTCTGAGCTTTCCAAAGTTCTCACTGCCATAACTACTGCTGCAGGTGCAATATAGTGACATGCAGAAAAAAATGGAGCACTTACCAGCTATCGATCCAGCCAAAAGCAGATTTCCAGGGCTAACCCTGCCATCTTCATTTGCAAAAGAAGCTTTCAAATGAGCATAACAGGGGAAGTAAATGGCAGAGAAGGGGATGTCACGCAAAAAACATGCCTTGGCACCCTGTGTTGAAAAAGAAAATGAGTTTTGAGAATGAGCAAATTTAACATGATGAACTCTAAACACCAAAGAACAGAGCAACATCATATTTTTTCGTTTAGTTGCAAAGGACTTCTAGGAAAAGCAATTGCTTCTCTCAAAATTTGGAGAGATTCATGTATTTCACCCTGCGAAGGACTGTCTGTGTATTGTTTCTTGGATCAGCAATTTCTGTCATTGTATTTATCCTGCCTACTTCTTCTCCCTTATTCCCTAGTACTGTGGTTACTTGCTGGTAATAGAGAAGATGTCATGTGTTGGAGTAAACTCAAATAACACCTTTGCAGAATTTTAAATAGTTGATAATGTAGCCATGCACCTGCAGTGGGAGTTTAGGTGTCTACAGAAGACTGAACCACAGGACAGGCCTGTCCTCTGTCATTCCCACTTATAATAAATACTTTAGGGAAAACAGCTCCCAGTCCATGCGCCTGTGCAGACATTGCAATTGATAATGTAACACAAACGGAGGCAAAGAGGAAATGAAGAGAGAGTGCCATATTCACCAACTCTTTTACACAACAGAAACAGGAGGGTTTACTTGTGATTTTTGAAGTGTAGGTAATCTGGGATATGGTTTGTTTCAAGTGAGTGTCAGCTCTTACTGTTAAATTTGCCTTGCTATCAATTTTATAAGTCGTACAAATTGCCAAAGAAGTGATCAGCTTCAAACCTAAGTGGGTGGGGTAAACAGGAAAGGAAGGTTTTGGGATAGCAATCAATCAATCAAATGTTTTTCAAGCAGGGGGAAACACAAAAAAGGCAGTAGGGGCTGCAACCAAAATAAAATACCAAATAACATCCATGTTCTAAAAACATAAGGGACTTGGAATCTGCCTTTCTTCCATATGGAGATCCAGAGGACACCAGAGCCTGAGCACATCAGGACTGAGACCAGCAGGAAGGCACAAACAGGAGGTGGCTTTGAAAAATGGGTAAAATCTTTCAAGCTTCAGAAAGAAATGGTTCACAGTCTTCTCTTTGAAACAATGCTGGAGTTGTGGTAAAACTGCTTGAGCTTCATCCATGAGCTCTCCTGGGATGCCCTTGTTACTGTACTTCCCCTGTGTGCAGTTTATCAGGGCACGGCTCAGTGCCAGACATTTCACAGGCCACATGATAATACCCACAGAATTTAATTAAACCTAATGATATGCCTGGACGTACCTGTAAGCTTAGCTCGTACTACAGCAGCAGTTAAAATATAGTGCTAATCCAAGGCGGATGGATGGTGGTTAGCAAGCAAAGGCACAAAGGCTGCAAAGTGTCAGAAGAACTAAGAAGTTGCCTTTCAGCAAGGAAAGGCAGGGCCGAGTGAGCAGGATGTGTATGGGAAAATCAGGTCCTGATGCTAGTAAGTGCAGCTTGCAGTCAGAGAATGCCTCTGAGAAAATAAAAATTTATCTAAAAGATATTAGATCTTCTAGTCAGGCTTTCAGTGTGTCACAGGCTCAGTTACTGGAACTCAAGGCTGCTCTTGCAGCCCCTCTGCTGCTCACCACGCTGAGTGGTGTTATCAGGCATGGAACAGAGTGATGCTGGGCAGGATTCTCCTCCCAAAAGTGACCTACAAAGCCCATACACTTTACCTTGAGGACACAGAGAAGGTGAATCTTTTGTATTTACCAGATACACAAGAATTCTGGCCCCACCTGTGCCACAGAAGCCTGTTTCAGTTTAATCTTCAGAAAAAAAGGAAAGACTAAGTTTTTACTAAAAAAACCCAAAATTTTAATGATCAGATGTCTGCATTGTATTTACCTCACAGAAAAATGATGAATCTCCTTAACAGAACATTCACAGACCAACATCTTTTCCTCAGAGATTTGTTTTTAGACCATGCTTTTCCTCGGAGCAAATCTCCTTGCTCCCTTTGCCCTCAGGGCACATTGCAAAGAAAATACAAGTAATGTTGTCATTAAACACTACTATGCACAGTTTTTCCTCTGCATTTTTTTCATACTCTGAAATATTTCTACATAGTTAAAATAACTTATGGAAATGAATAAACTCTAAATGCAAGCAACTCTTCACTCAACCCAAGTTCCCTGTATCCCCCTCCCTTCATTAAGAGGTTCTTTTTCATGGGGCAGAAACAACATGTTGTTAATATCACTAATACACTTATGGGTATGCAGAGAGGGAGGGATGTCCATCAACTGAGTTGGCTCAGTGTAAACAAAACCTGGATCAAAACTTGGATGAACTTTAATAATAACCCATCTTGGCTCCACTCCAGCATCGCAACAGTCTAAAGTTTCCCCTCATCGTTCTGTTTAAAGTCTGGGAAAGCATGTTTAAAAGCAGGCCTCATTTAACTTCAAGTTAATCATCCGCAACCAGCCTGGGCCAATTAGGAAGGCTTAGGGAGATTGGCCACAGTATCTTGAAAAGCAAAAGAAACATTTATTTTACTTCTCGCACCTTTTTGATGTGGACAACGTGCTGAAAGCCAAAAGGAGTTTTAATCAATCCCCAGAAAGCTGTAAGGATCATCCGCCCGAGTTTGTTCTGGCAGCCAAGGTGCAGACCTGCCAGGCATGAAATTGTTGGGAGATCCTAAACACCCGGACTTGCCTCCCTCCCACAACAGCCAGTTGGCTCCCATCTTCAATCTCTTTAATAACCTTAAAGCTCTTAATCTTGGATAGCATCTCACTGCACAAACCAGGCAGGGAAAAAAATAAAAAAACACACCTCATTGTCCAAGATTCGGACAAATAAGCCCAAGTCAGTGCTGGGGCAGGTTCTTTAGCATGCTAATTCCTGCTTATACCAGTTCTACCTGCAAATAAGGCTCTAAACAAACTATTTCTCCTGCAAGGGGAGGGTAATTATACTGACAAAGGCACCTCTGTGTCGGGTTGGGCAGAAGGAGCCGGCAGGTCTGGGAGACGCAGGCTTAACCTAGTCTCCTGCAGTGAATGCACATTGTCTAGGGCAGGGGGAAAAATGCCAGACTGGGGGGACCTTGCAGCATTCAAGACAACAGTGGTGCACCTTGTCTGAGAGGGTTATTTAATGCTTCTGGCACCTGTACTTACAGCCACCCCCTCTTTTTCTCCTTTACAGGTTTAGAATTTATTTGGCATGTATAATTGTTATTTTGATCCTATAGCTACAAACAATAGGCAGCATGTCATTTCTTGATCATTTTGCATTCTTCCTGGGTTTTACTACAGACTTAACCCTTCGGAATCAGAGCCCTTGCAGCACCTAAGCACTTCTGTAATAGTCAGTCAAGTATTACTGGCATTTGCTTTCAATGGCTGTATTTTTTTTTCTTCTATTGTAAAATGTCATTGCCTTAAAAGTTACTACAGGTTTTTAATCACATATATTTATACCGGCCAAAATATGAAACCCATTTAGCACATCAAGTTAGAGGAAGAAAATGCTGATTTCAAATGCTGTGCCAGCAATTCAGATTCAGCTTGTAGACAACAATTATAGCATTTCTTACTTAGAAGGGCTTTTATTGGTTATTTTCAGAGAAAATTTCTGAAGAGCAGGTTCTCACATATGAGAACAGTCACAAATTGGCATGCTGGATGCAAATTAATGTAACTTAAAACTTTTACCACTCTGTTTCAAATGTTTATCATTCTGGTGTAAACCCACAACTTCAAGAGGTGAAATACCTAAGCGGTTTTCAGGTGACAGGTACACATCCTGTCACCTGGGATTACACTTTCCAAGCCAACACACCAGAAGCCCGTTTATGAAGTTGTCAAAAAAAAATGAAGAGGCTTTTGGAAGCTTTTCTGATTAGTTTTGAAAACGCAAACTGTCTTGTCACTAAATAGCCAAAGCACAAATCTGAGCTAAATACCTTCTAGTAACTGTAATCATAAACATTACCACAACCAATGGATCCTTTCCTTGAAGAATCATTCAGTACCATATTATTTACTGTCTTCTTGGGATCACAGAATAACTTTGTTGTGCAAAATTACAGAGTGGCACCGTTATGCTGTAAAGCATTATTCAGAATGATCACATATAAAAAGAGAAATATTTTATTAAATATTTTATGGCAGGTGTTATATGGGTATGAATTTCTACGATGTACAAAATAAGTAGGTGTCCTTACAATGTGTCTGTACACAAGCACATTAAAGATGCCTTTCAAAACCAACAGAATGTAAGTTCAACTGATTTTAAGGGGACTTTATATATATTACTGTGTAAGACAGGCAGAAGACAGAAATTGTATCTAATCTAATTGAGCTAATCTTGTACGATTACTTCAATATTCAGCTGTGACTAGAAATTAAATAAAATCTATTAAAAATACTGAAACCCGGAAAATTTATCCTTTCCCATTTCTGCCAACACAAATGACATTTTGCATTAGGTTAAATGATATTTTCCCTAACTGGGAAATGTTGTGTCTGTATTTTTAAGAATAGCTGTCATCTACAGAACATTTGTAGCTAAAGAAAGTACTAGTTCTAAGCTTCCATGCCCTGGTGCTTTCACAACAACAATTATTCACAGAAAGAAGACAGGGAAACAAATTCCTTCTGCCAAAGTGCTGTTACGTGCCTCCCCGAAGGAGCAGCTGAGTTTTGAGAAGTACAATGTTTTAAAATACTTATTTACACAAGTAGTTCAGAATTTTAGACAAAGGCAGAAAAAAATATTTGCTTTCTAGCTTTAGAGAACTACAGGGGTTCTACCCAGCAGTTAGCCTAATGAGCTCTATGTGTCAAATCTTTCTATTGCTGGAATTAACATGTGTTTTATTTCTAAGCTGCACATCATTACAGAATTGCTAGTACCTGAATTGCTAGCACCTAGTGAAGGTGCAGTGAGTTTGGGAGGAAGCTTTGACTTTAAGTTATTAAAGTCAAAAAAATTAAATTAAAAATTAAATTAATCTTTTACTTATTATGACGGACATAACTAATTGCAGTGAAGAAAAGCTGTCTTCTTTTCCCAAACCTACTGGTCTAAAGGAAGGAAG